TGTGTGTGTGTGTGTGTGTGTGTGTGTGTGTGTGTGTGTTCTGCTGCGTCAGACTAGGGTGCCTGGGTCAGCACTGGGTTCCTTTGGGGTCACCTCTTGCAGCTGTTGTGGAGGAGTCTCCTGATACAGAGAAAACTCCATCGACCTGTTGGGAAGGCAAGACAAATCAATACAACACTCCACAAAGGCGTAGAACCACAGTGAGAGAATATCTTCATGAAATAAAAATTAGGAATCATGGTCAGACTATGATTCAGCTCAGAGGAGGGCTCGCTTGTAAATTAGTAAAATCCTTTTGGAATTAATCAAGAAAGTAAAAATCCTTGACGATTTAGGGGGCGTTAATGCATAATCGCATCAAAGTTCATGACGTTGGTATTAGCCAGCTCGCAGCAGGAGATAATGCTGATCAAGCAAAATAAAATAAGGCAAATGAAAACAAAAATAAAAACCCAATGATTATAAGAGTTGGAATGATGGATGGCTTGGTTGGGGACAGGGTAAGAGTAATAGCATAACCCCCTGCTAGATTACTCCAATTTTCCAGAGAGAAACCGGATTAAGTGTCAGCGATACAAAAAGATTGAGTGAATGTGTTTGCAAACATGCATGTTAGTATTTTAAATACTTATAGTACTAACTATAGTACTAACCATCATAAATGTAGCGTTTAGTTTAATTCACCTGTACTGGAGGTAGTAATAGTATAATAAGGACATGAAGAATGTGGCTTGAACCAGGACAGTTTCCTGTACTAGTCAACAACTCGCTCACAAAACTGAATGACTTCCGTCGGTGACCCTTCACAATAAAAGTCCCATACACCTATACTGCTTAAAATGACAGGAAACAAAAATTCAATGACCAACCTTCCACAATAAGGCAAAAGAAAAAAATACTTTTAAATAGCAAAATGTGACACATTAAAAACTAACTGGATATTGTTGATGATAATAATAAATATTTTAGTTCATTAGTTATATTATTAGCTATTTATTCACCCTATATTGTTTGTTGTGTGGCTTTTTCATTCTATGGTATCAATAATCGTGAAAATCGTGACCTCTGACAATAATCGTGGCACCAAAATTTCATATTGTGTCATCCCTACAAAAAAAATCTCATCTCTTTAGGTGATAGCACATTTCTTCTGCTTTGTAATGTACTTGTCAAATGCCAAACAATGCACAACAATGACAGAAAGTTAGAGTACTTATTCCTAGCCTACAAGACTGAGTCTTGCCTTGAACAGACATTTGGGTTAGAAAAAAGCACACAGGCTCAAGAAAGAAAAAGTACTGACCTTCCATGCAGTGGGAGACCGTGGAAGCTGGCTGACTGGGGTATCTGAGGCCTGTTGAGGTTGGCTGCTTCACCTTGAACAGACTGAGCCTGGTGCACCAACGGGTTGGGGTGTGAGAGGCGAGAGATACCCGTCTCGTGACCCTTTGAGGCAGCTGGTGGATAGCCAAGAGCGTTCCTCAGGTACCAGTCCCTCAGTCCTTCCAGAGCCAGGGCTTTATGCAGGCTTCTAGTTGAGTCTTCTGGGGTCGGGAGAGAGAACTGTGGGGCTCTGCGACTGAAGGAGGGGCCAGACAGCTCAGTCTGGTAAGGGTGCAGGTTGGGGATGGAGGATGTGGTGGTGCCAGAGGCAGGAAGGGGAGACTCATATGCTGACAATAGTATTCCATCCTGGGATTGTTGCTGCAAAGGCATAAAAGGTCCACAAGATTTGGTTCTGGTGACTTTGACCCTGCGCAGCTCGGCTTGTGACCCTCTGAGGACCATGGGGCTGTAAGGAGGTGCAGTGCTGGGGAGATGCACCTGGGAATGAGAAAAACCATTGGCATGGGGAGGAACCACTGCTGTGGATGAACGAGGAGAGGACATGTCCTGCCAGATCCTGCCTGTGGACTGGTACAAGTGGTGCTGCACTTGCAACCTCTGCTGTTTCCCCCAGATATAGTCCATGAGTAGCTCATTGTAGCCTCCCCCTGCCCCTCTGCCGCCCATGGAGAGACGCATTTTGGCCTGATCCACAGAGCCGTCCACATGTCTCTCAGGGCTGCCTAAGTGAATGTGTCGCAGCTTGCCATCAGTCAGTGTCTCTGAGCTCTTGTAAGGCCCTCCTCTGGGGGGCATCCCGTTTCTGGGTGCTGGATCATCAGGGAGGCTCGACCTATCCAACAGGGCCTCTGAGCTGTTACTGCGCCTGGCCCGGGAGCTGTACGGGCAGCTTCGCCGGTCAGAAGAAGAGCCCTCCTGTGCCAATGGAATCATGTATGGCACATCCAGGCTGCCAGACCACTGCTTCAAACCATTACCCCCTGACGCATCCGACCTAAGGTGGAAATGTGAGAACAGCAAGAGTTTATATTAGGAGAAGACTCTGAGAACTATGGATAAAGAGGGAGTGAAAGCAAAACTACGAAACTGTAATTCACAGGACTTAAGAAGGGGCACAATTTAATGAGCTCTAGCCTTTGATGGTAGAGTAACATATGCCACTAATTATTGTTACAACCCTTTTTAAGTCAGCAAGCATTTTCCAACACACAGTTATCACAGGGGGGGCTGGAACTGTGCTGCGTCAGATAAAAGCAGCCTCGTATCCCACATTACCTGACATGAACGCTGATTGGAGCAGTTCGCGCCAAAAGAGGAGTCGCTGGAACACTTCTTCCTTCAACGTTAGATGCACTTCTCGGTAAAGAGTGAGTTGGGCTGTGAGCAACACAAGGGGACTTTGATGCATTTATGATTTATCACACATATATAAAAACAATCACGTGCATGTGTGCATAGGAATATGTACAAACAGATCAAACTGTGTAGCACAGAGTCACTTTCAGTACCTGACAGAGCTTGTGACAGAGTTGCGACGTGTCCTCATCTCATAGTAAATCTCTACTGGAGACAGTTTCCTACTGATGCGGTGGTCAGGGCTGCCCACAGTGAGCCGGGGCTGAGACAGAGAGCGCTGGTCAGCGGCCACGCTGGGAGATGACTCTTTTGGGGAGAAGAACAACAAAAAAAGTGTTATTGTAGTGAAGCCCACTCACACATGAAAAAACGTATCGACTTCACTAAAAGCACAACACTCCAAGTGTGCTATTTTGGGTTTACAACGGAAATGTGACAGCTCAGTCTTATTTGGTGTTTGAACAAGAGAAGTGATAATTAGCTTCACACCTTCTTAGCACGTTTGTATTTTAAGTGTGAAAAGAATAACACTGACAAATTTTTCAGTTAGGATTCTGAATATGTAAATACAACAAAGTATCGACCAGAGGCTTAAGACACTTAAGACCCTTTTCCACTGGTCAAAAGACCCACTAGCAACTGTTAACATCATGCTTTTGTTAAGACACAGGAATACAATGTGCAGTAGACGCTGGTTACTATCTGCTCCAGGTCTGATTGGCAGTGATGAAAATGAGACACCCAGGTGAACTGCATGGTGAGAAAGCTTCTCAGTTCTGGGTGTTTGTGATGTTGGAAATGACACAAAGGGAAACAAAGCAGAAAAGTAAACTCCTTCACTGGCAATGGGAAAGGAGTCAATCGCCTTTCCCCTTACCCACTAATGTTGGTGTAAAATGACTCACCGTTGTCATGGGATGTTGAATCTGACATGGAGCTCGTACTCTCTGACATGACTGTGTCCTCTGAAAGACAATTACCATTCAGGTCAAAGACAGTGCAGCATGATATTTGATATCTTTGCTGAGCCTGAGTGCAAAGGTCATTGTGATTTGCAAACATAAAATGTTGACAACAATGTGGATTGTTTTCTATTCACGTGTCCCTGATGTGTTCATTATCAGTGTTGCTGTGTAATTATACCTGTGTGACACCCTCGATGAACTGTCCTCTTGCTATTTGGGACATTTCTGTCTGATTCCGAGTGTCTGTACAGAGCACCGGTGAAGATGGCTTTCATCTGCTTTCTTTGGGCAGCCTCATCCTGCAGCCAGGGACAGACGACCGTGTTAGACCCCAAGTATACACAACATTACAGTTGCTGCCTAAACACAATTGATATTCAAGATGTTGACTTACCTCTGCCTTGGTGTTGGGCAACACGCCAGCTCTGCGCTGCACCAGCGGGGGTTTCTCTCCAGTCTCCAGGGGGAAAGTACGTGGCAACTTCCCAGTCAGCTCCTATAGAGGACATTCATTATCCTTCTGTATGAGCTCAGAGGTTTTACATAAAACCAAAATTCACACATTACCGGAAGATTCATTAAAAACCTTTAAATAGTTAACTGCATTGAAATCTTTATAATAAATATATTGCTATGATAATAAAACGTAAAAAACAGAATAACACCTGCAGATGAGTAGAGATTCAAAATTAGATACACTGACAACATGATAATTGTGTGCACAGCTTAACACTCATTTATCGTGTCGAGCAGGAAAAAGGCTCATACCACAGAAACTCCTGTGCACACAAGCTATATGTCTGTATCATCTTAATAAATTAATAACTCTGTGTGGTGATTGCAAATCAAATAATAAGAACAGATTGTGATTAAAAGAATAAAACACACAAAGACGGAGTGATATACACTACATCAACCTGAAAACACAGGGATGGGTTGAAAAGCTGTGACACTGCGGTGGCTTCATTAACATGTACCGACAAGTTCTCTGGAGCTGTCAAGTGATTAAAAATATGTGTTTCATTTTAAGTGAGAACAAAGATCTCACAGATTCTCAGCAAGTTGTGAGTAATACAAATACACTAAAACAACCTTTAACACAGATCAAACACAAATGAACAAAAAAAACGTTTTACAGGGTGAAAATATTGTACCCTGACCCATGTATGCTTCATACATGAAGATAGAGTTACTCACTGCTTCCTGCAGACAGACTTGTTTGAGCTCTCCCACTCTGGTGTGGAGCAGAGCCTCCAGGACCTGTTTTCTCTCCTGCAGAGCTGCAATCCTCTCAGCCTGCAGCTTGTTGTCCTGGCTGCCTTGAACATCTACACATCACAGAACCCACCAGAAAGAATTAAACAAATCACGGGATGTGGGTGGAAATATTTTCTATTATTTATTGTCAACACATCCCATGTCTGTTGTCAAAAACATATAAAAACACATCAAGGAGCCACACAACTGCAGTGAGTGACATGTTCCGTCATTACCTTGAACAATGAACTGTAGATTATTTTGAGTCAGTCTGACACAAAAGTCCTGCTGCTTTATATAATCCAACAAACTCACAACTTCTGTTTTGGAAAACTTCACTAGAAGTACAATGTACAGTTTTTTTTTTGTTTTTTTTTTCTAAGTTCAAATGTGTAGTTATATTTGACCCATCTTGAAAGATTCACTTCTTCACTAAGAACCACGGGCTGGGTAAGGCACTTTTTGAGAGATGGAACAACAGTGTTTTTGTGTTGTCATGAGATATGTTAAGTACCAGGCTTGTCCAACTACAGACTAAATATTTTTGGTCCAAATGACTGAAATTGAGCCTTCAAGGAATCAAACTAAGAAACTCTATAGACTAAAACAGTCTTATTATGCCTGTCTCAAACAATACGATGTCTGTTCCCAGTAATTCAGTGCTCTGAAAACATTATCTGACAGCTGTGGTGACAGTGAGTGAACAAAAGGCCTTCACACATAACAGCTGTTTTTTCAGCTGGCTGTTCCCTTGAGGAAAACATGTTCCTTCTGTTGAACTGTCAGAAAAAACACAATCTGATAGGTTTGCCAGACCACTTCAGGCTTGTCCAGACACGAAGGTGCGCTTCTTTTCACTCACCAGGAGCCCCCAGACCCATTGATGTGATCAGTTGTCCTTTGACCTCCATGTGATGTAATTCTGAGGACTCACGCTCCCAACCACACCCTCACCTGATGAGAAAGAAATGAAGTTTTACATGCATCAACAATTGTTGTATCCTCTCTAACCTTGCAGTTTCAGCCATTTGTTGACTTTAGGTGGAGAGTCAGTAGTTGCATTTCCAAGAAGTCAATAGTAGATAAACATGGGTGTCTCCTAGATCTGATTATGCCAGGTAGCATCGGGGGGGATCCAGTGCAGCTCAGCTCAGGAATCTAGAGACAGAAACCCGACAGTTGGTGAATGCACACATTGAGGAAAGTATTAACCGAATTAACCAACATGAGCAAGATTAATCAGTTATAGGTTATAAATGTTGGTTTTGATGCATTTTCGGTCAACTGCCCAGCTCTACTCCTTGCATTAAATTTAAAAGTATTGTAAACACAGAAAAAGCAGTTATCTAAAATTACCTCTCAGATGAAATTAGCAACCAATTAATTTGTAAAAGAGAATGTAAAATGAGAAAGGATAAGTAACATTAAAAATATATGGAGAACTGTAAACTGTGTGCATTTTATGTCTCAATAGCTCAGTTACGACTCCAGAAAAAGAGGGAGCCAGAGGAGCAGAGGTAGACACACAGTGATGGAATAAATAACCGGGGCAATATATAAAACCTACTTTCAAGGGAGTTTCCTGTTTGCTGCTGTCGTAAACATCAAGGTTTACATGAAATGTATTTTATATAGTGTTGGTACATTACTATATGTTATAGCTACATATCTGGTCATGTCAGCTAAAAGAGAAGGGAAGAAATATAACTGTTGCTGAGAGCTGAATTTAAGCAATGATTTATATGCACTTTTCTCCACATAATGGATCTTCATTACAAACAAAGCCTCTTCCATGATACCCAATAGAGAATTGAAATCCAAAAATAGCAATAGCGTTTTCTGCCAAAAGCCTCTCACTCAACGCTGCTCACAAATCGCTGCCATAAACAAGCATCTTGCTGTCTCTTTGCCAGTCGAGTAAATCATGAAATGACTCTGTTCAACAAATCTAGACGGAAGGCCTCGAGGGCTGAATCAAAATTACCGTCCAAAGACTGCTTCTGCCAGCATCACATCTTTTAAAGAAGAAACGTTTATCTGTCCACTGTCTCAAAGCTCCCCTCCACGACTGACCAGCTTTTTGCTTTTTAGGGTCAGTAAGACATAGTGTTGTGTTTTCCTCCATCAAACATCATAAAGAATGAGGCTCACTTTGTGTGAAGACATACTTGAAATACTTCCATGGAGTTTGCGTTGGCCCCTGTCCTGGAACTGAACCAGAAGCTGCTGTTTGCTCCTGTACGTGTGAAAGCCCCCAGCATGCTTGACCTCCCACTGACAGACAAGTAGGAGCCTTTCACACAAACAAATGGCAGATCTATGACTGCCCTCAGACAAAAGCTCATCACATGAATCTTGTTCAACAAAACTTAGTCCATGATTATCAGATTTCAACTTAATCTAATGTACTGAGAAGGACATTCTCCAGGGAGTGGACATGCAGTGTCATGTCTGTGCTCTGTTGAGAAGAGAGGTGATAAACCCCCAGAGAGAAGCAGTAAAGAAGACAGACAGAGACATTTGGTATTCTACTGGACCGTCACTGGAAAGCTCAATACAGAAGCCAAAAGGCTGCCATACCTCTTTAATGGCTTTGTCCAGTTACAAAAACAATTGCATAGAAACTTGGTATGTTCCTTTTCACCTACTAAAACATGTCCTTCTTGTCGTTTACAACTTACAACACTTATCCTTCGGTCCGGAAAAATGCTTCATTTTTGCTGCTATAACTGATATAACAGTATTTTAAAGGTAATGACTGAAGAAATAATTAAATTCTAAATGAACAATGATATTAGTCAATTTTGTTCACTTCAATACACCCTGTGGTTTTGACCTGTAGAGAAATGGTGCTAATATTAGCAAATGCATAGCATGGAAACTAATTTTACAAGGTGTTAATCAACCAAGCCTCTTCTTGTTACCTTTCTACAGAGCACCAGACACCAGTGGCGTCTAAATGCAACATGTCAGATTTCTTGTATCACAGAGTTGACACACTTCTCTCCAAAGAGCAGCAGCATTATTACATGTAACACTTGCTGAACCTTGGTTCTATTTCTGCCAGCACAAGTACAGTGTGTTACTAGCTGTTCGATCACACGAACAGTGTGTGCTGCACTTCAAACTGATACTTTACTGTACGATTTGGGTTCTGGAAGCCATGTGGTTTCTTTTTCTAGTTTGAGCAATCACATTTGAGCAGACTTGGTTGTCTGCAGGTAGACAGTCTGTGTGGCGGGTCTAAGAGGTGGAATACATTGACTGAAGTGCATCAGCTTTTTAATTGATCTGCATTCATATGCAGATAGCCGTATAGAGATTAGCCTGCATGTCAACCTGGACCTTAAACACCTATAAATGAGTTTTGCTGTTTGTGATTTATAAAAAATTGTATGGACTCATGGGACTGTAAACAGTGTGTGGCGAACAGAAGCGTCTTGGCCTAGATACACTGTCTACACTGGAAGCCCCAAAATATTGACCGTATCAGAGCAATTACAAAAATGGCTAGATCAGAAAGGGGGGCACTTGTAGAAAGAAAAGCTGAAGAAAAACAACGAGAAAGAGAAAGACATCTCAATATGAGCCACAATCTAACAAGAATGTCTCTTTCTGTAAAGGGAAGAATAAAAACATCACAGTAGAGAGAAACAAACCAAATATATGTAACAAAGCTCTAACACATTAACAAAACCTCAAGTTCTGCTTTCATGAATGACAAGAGCTAAAGGAAGAATGAGAATCAACCAGCTGCAACAGGTCGCCCTCCAACCACTGAGCCTAACAAATAACACACCTGATATGATCAGTGGTCTCGCTGACTGAAGTCAAGCGCTAACTCCTTTAACATCTGGTGTGCAGATGTGCGCCGAGGTACAGGTACAACACACATCGCATTCCAGAAAGAAGGCTGCGGGAGAGATGGCAGGACTATGAAGACCCAGATAAACAGAGTCACAAAGAACGGCATCAAAAGGAAGGCTCAGAGGAGATGTGAATAAGAAATATGAACGCACCACAATCATCAAACACATGTTGACATAGCATATGTAGAGGGGATGAGGCACCGGCTCTGGATGGGGGTAAAGATTCTACTGAGGGAGGCGTGCTGATTAAAACATGAGCTGTGCAATGAGAGTGAGCTGTCCCTGTGCAGCATGCATCACAGAATGCAAATCAGCGAGAGGTTTAATATTCAAGTCCGGCCGGCTAAACACTGAGGCCTGTAAGGTATAGGTCCAAACCGTGTCCACAAAAGGAAGTGCACTGCTCCCTCTGCAGCTTAGAAGTCATACGTATTAAATCACAACATTCATAGGGAAGCTAAACTGCTACAGGCAACAGTTTTCTTACCCCACGATAAACAGGAAGGCTCGTAGCTCTTAAAGGAGATTCACTCTCTTTAGCTGTCAGCTTTTATCTGGCCCAAGAGTCGCAGGAACAGGCTACTGTTGTCTACTGCGTTTATATAACTGATTCAATAAAATAAAATTCATGACTTTAAACTGAGTGCGTCTTAATATGTTACAGGAAAGCCTTAGGCACAAGCCTCAGTTCCGCTGATAATGACAATGGATGCACAATGTGTTTAGTCTCTCTCGACAGGCGGCACAGAGCAGCTGAGATGTAAGAGAGCAGCTGAAATATCACCTCAGCACAGACAGGTGAGGCCGGCAGCCCTCATGTTGACTGTTGTCGTTGACACAGCTGCTGTTGTAAACTTACACATGGTAACCAGAGCAGGGTGAACACGACACAGCTCCAGATGAACGAGTGTGAAAGGTCCCGAAACGAGTCATTTCACAATGTCGCTTTCCGGTGGTTTTTCCTGATGCCTCTAAACTCTGACCCTCGCTTTGTTCTTTGGAAGAGAACAGTAAAGTGACCTTTATCTGCAGGTTCTCTCTGCCATTCTGGATCCAAATTCAAGAATGTTACAATGGTAAGATGTGGGGAGGATCAGAAATAGATATGCCAGCACCCAAATGTTTTCAGTCTAAAGGAAAAAGAAGCAAGTTTCAAATGAAAAAGAGATCGGTCAGCATCAGTTACAGCTGATTCCATGAGGAGGATTTTCCACTGAACTACCTCCATCTGACCAAAGAACTGTCGAGAGCTTATGGAAGGTCAGGTGACCCCACCCCCCACCCCCTCTCTAATGTGATCTCTTCATGCACCCTCTATATCCATGAAATACTGATTTATAACAAAGCTTAAGGTCAGCTTAAGCTCGGACCGGCCAATCGTGCGGCTCGCCATTTCTCCTCCCTGGCCTTGACGCTCACCTTTGCACATTTGACACAAGAATCAGGGGTGAAACAAAGCAATCCTGGTGATTGCTATCCACCTGGATTCGGCTAAGCTGAGGTGGGGGGAGTAATAAAGAAAGGAATGCAGCTCTCACGTCTGAAGGGATTATTCCTTTACATTTTCCCTTTGCCCCATAACACCTGGAGGGATTTCTCTATTTATTCCAGATTCGTTTTCATGTTCCACTGTGGCTGTAATCCACTTTGTTGATTTTGGAGGGAGTTCAGAGCTGCTTATAATGTGCAGCCACAGCCATGCAGTTACAGTCATTATTATACATGCGTTACAGCCTGATATGATTCTTTTGTGCCCTTCAAGTTCTTTGTAGCTGAGGAAATGTGGGTGAGTTCTGTCTCTTATCCATGCCACTACTGCTGGTGTATTTTTAACTCGTCATAGAGTCAGGGACTTGATTCCCTGAGCTCCCGCACTAAACCCCAGGACACATTAGATTGAGTCCAAAGCACATTTTCGTTTTAAATCCATGTCCAAATGTCCAGGTAAGAGGTCTGGACCCAGAAGTCAGCGTGTGGCACACACCCTGCCCATTAAACACAAGTGTTTTTTTAAGTCAGCTTCTACTGAAGTAGATGCTCAAATCATGTCAGTCCATGTCTTAAGGGCATCATAAAAGGAGCAGAGTCACCTTGATGTAACTAAGTGGGGGAAAAAATGAATACCCTTGTGTTTAAACCAATCTGGATCAAGGTCCAATTTTATAGTGTTTGACTGAGGCTCAACACCAAAAGCAGCATGTAAACCACAGGGAGCTCTTCACAGAAGAGTGGAGTGTCATGCTGCCAATTTAAAGACAACAGCAAACAGAGAGAGTGAGGAGTGAAAACAAACACCAACATGTGTCGAATTCCCCCTGATCAAGATGAAACCGAGCATGAATGGTCTCCTGGCTTCCCCCTGCAATAAAGCAGCTAAACCGAGCCTCTTTGGAAATGGCCTAATGGTCCATGAATTCAAAGTGCCCTGTAAATACAAGAACCCTTAAATAGGAGCAATCAGCACTTTCAGAAAACGCTTGGGAGCAAAAAAAAAAAGGAAAGTCCTATGAAAACAGAGAGGTGTTTCCCAGATACCACCAAAAGGTGGATTAGCAAGGAATCACCCTGAAGGGACTGACCGGCCCACACAACACATTTGGATGAGGGGTTTTTTTTTTCACAGCCAGACAGACATCCTTGTTCAGGAATCTGTTAATAATAGGAGGGTTGGCAGAGCTGCATGAGAACGAGCAGTATGTATAAACAGGAGCAGTGAAATCGATAGGGCCCAGCAGGCAGCAGCAGCAGCAGCATGCTCCTGCTTCACCCGCTCCACAACATTGCAGCAACAGGGAGAAGTTGTGTGTTCCCAGAAAGAAGAAGAAGCATGACACGGATATTTACTAGTTTACAGCCGCAGCCCATAGAACCCAGACGCGGTGGCAGCCCTGTGGTGTTCCCTGCTCTTTAAATGAATATGCCTCACAAACAATCCGCTCGTGTTTGCAGGAGAAAACAATGTGAGCACGAAGGAAGAGATGACTGTATTTAAATTCCCACATTAAAACCCGGCGTGTGAGGCTGCAACAGCGGCCATCCTCCATCTGCAGCACCGGCTCATAACCAAACACTCACCGGACTCATTAACCGGAGCATTCAAGCTAACATGTCGCAGGTGTATCGCTGACACGATGCTAACTCGGTTTTTTAAACGTAAAATAAAATCTGAATTACAGGAGCGAATACTGTCTCGTTGAGTCAAACACAGGCCTGAGCTGCTAACGCGGAGAATACAGGTTGTGTTCATCACTACACCGTCAGGAGCAGAAGGACATCTTGGAGCAGAATCCCCCCCTCTCTTACCGGAGAGCATGACCGATGCCTTCCGAGGTCTCCGCGGTCCTCTGTGGCAAAACCAAGCCGAGAAAAATCATCCCCGCGTCGGACCACAGGAGGAAACCATCCCAGGGAAGACGGCGATTAATTATTGAACCGTGCGTCGGTACGCGTGATAACCCTCTGGGTTCATTGTGGCTTCGTATCTCAATTGTAATTCACCAGCAGCCTCCAGACCTCCTCCTCCTCCTCCTTCTTCTTCTCCTCCGCTGCTGCTGCTCCTGCTGCTGGCTGCTGCTGCTGCGTCGGGCCGCTGCGCATCTGAGCCGAGCAGAGCTGCTGTGAGCGGGCAGAGAGCCTCGTCCCCTCCTGCCCCGGATGGAACCCAGTGTTTACACCATAGGTTCCCACACAGCCGCTGTCCCAGCTGCCCCGCCCAGATGTTCCGTGCCCTCAGTGTGTTCCTCCACTCACACTGCTGTGCTTCTCCAGATGTTCAATGGACTCATGTGTCAGCGTCGCCCAACACTGGAAACAACACATATCAGCATCAACTCAAGAGGTTCCCCTGAAATGAAAATAACAGAAATGAAAAATAATTTAAAATATATATATATATACATTTATACTCACACACACACATTTTTTTTCTATCAGTATACTTAAAACAAATACATGTATTTTTACACATGCTCGTATACCCATTAAACATTAAACTTGATTGAAAAGTGTCGCTGAATACTTACAAAAACACATTAGCATGTTAAATATAAGCGGTTTCCCTGAAATCAAGATTACAGTAATAAATACACACACACACACACATATATATTTTCTATTATTATACTTAATCCTAATTTATTTCTGTTTATTAAACTCACACATGCTAGTATATATATTAAGTGTTAATCCAAATTTTAAAAAACAGCCTGAATACTTGTTTATACAATATGGTCTGAAGACAACCAACACATTTCCCACTTTAAAAGTAAAATTTTACAATTGTAAGTGAAGGTGATATTTATCTACTTTAAAAAGTTTAAACTTAATAATGTACAACATAAACCAAATCTGTTAACATTAGCTATCTAAATTGAATTGTCCATCCAGAAAATGACTCAAATTAATACAGTTCATAAAATAGCAGTTTATATAGATATAAATATATGTAAAATGTATTTTCTGTTTCTGCTACTCGCACATGCTGGCCTGAACAATAAATCTGATTGAAAAATGATGCTGAATTCTTTTTTAAAAAAGCATGAAGGAATGTATATAACCAGCGGTTCCCCTGAGGGTTAGCTGCCAAAATGTCCTCTTACAACAGTAAAATAATATTTAGTGCAGCTAAAAGAAATGTTTATCTACTTTGAAAAGCGAACAATTTTAAATGTATAGGTAAGTGCTGTCGAAAATGAAATGTATACCTGCATATTTTCAACTCAAAATAATAAGTTTAGTGAAGTTTATAAATGTGTAACTAAGAATGAACACTTAATCCACGCAACACAGATAATGCTCATGATTTGTTGCATATAGGCACATGCTCAATGATGCTGAAAACCTTAGTATGAATTTAAGTTATAAACTCAGTATCACAGTATTCTTTTTTTAAACTGTAAAATAACAGTATTTCATGTAGGTGCAGGAAATGTTTATCTACTTTAAAAAGCTAATAGTCCAAATCTATTTTCCAAAATAATAATAATTGGTCATTGTACATCCATAAAATGAAATTAGTTAACGTTAACGTTAGAAAGAATATGTTTACTTGAATTCTATCGAAAATGTATTTCTGTTTGTGAAACTTGCACATGCTAATAACCGTCATTGAAAAAAAACACCAAAAATAGATTACAAACTAAAAGTAAAAACGTTGTTTAGTGCTTAATTCTGAAATACATTAAAAGCATTTTAATAGTAATGCATTAGAAATGCTGCTTCATAAATCTTTCATAAGACACCCCTGAAAATGAACTATGGACATCAGAGCTGCTTCAACTCAAACACACTGGCCATGGTGTTATACCAAGTCCATCGGACATATTTCATAAATATAATGAAAAGGGCTCAGGATGAAAGGTTTATTTAACAATGCCTTCAAAAAGGCAACAACAGGGAGTCAACAATCTGTTTCATTTAATTTTAATTTGTATGAAAATTTAAAACTAAATAATAGTTCAAAAAAGAATAATGGACAGACCTCAAACATAACTTCAACATTTGCACAGTTAATTGAGGAAACCTCGAACACAAAATAAATCTGATATGTTATGAATGCATAAACTCTCACATTGTTAAAATAAAACCACCAACTTACTCAATGGAGGGGATGGGGTGTAAAAAAAACAATGCCTTCTGTCCACAACACCAGTTTTAACCAGATTTCAGTTTCCAAAACACATTTTAGCATATTTCAGCAACCTATGTCAAATTAAGTGCAAAAGCATCACAAACTGATGAAGAACGTGGCCTTTGTCTGGGTTTTGACTTAGGATCAGGGCAGATGTTTTCATTTTAACACAGCTGTACTGCTTCGTAAATACAGTGCATTTAACTAAAAGTTTTAGCAGGGATAATCTGGAAAAATACACTACTTAAGTAAGACTCCTGTTGAGTCAATACTATGTTGGGGGTTGTAATTCTTTCCAAAACTCATCCTCTGAGATTATAGGGAGTCATAAATGTTTGAGAGACCTGATGTCTGGACTCCAGGAGCCCATCTGACCACAGTACCGTCCTCATGTCTTTGGGCAATCACTACCTCCAATGAGTCTTTCTTTATAGGTAGCTTTTTCTTCGCTGAGGACGACGCATCTGTTGTGTGAACACCGTTTACTATCTCTGTCATGGAGGCATGTGGGTCATCGTGACTGACCCTAATGCTTTATGTGATATTGAATATACTGAAAATGCTTTTGTTTCTTTCTGCATTTTATACATTCAATGTCTGTCATATTGATATTTAGAACAAATTATTAGTAATAAATGGAAAACCAGGGCAAAATGCAAACATCATTTATCTTGTCAACACTTAAGGCTACTGCTTTTTGATTCTATCAATTTCATTTCAGCCGATGTTGACACAAAAAGCACAACACAAAAAAATGTGGCATTAAATTTCCTATTATTTTTTTAATGAAGTTGAGGGGGAAATAGTCCTCTGGTATAAGTTTGGCTCATACATTGCTTTTAGCTCCACCCATCACACTGCCCATACTGACATAACTGACAAGATAAGAAGCCATACACAGACCATCAGAGAAGAAACATGCCTGATTTATCATCACTGCTCTGGGAACGTTTTCAAATAATGACATCATACTATTACAGTCCAGACTAGGGCTGCGCGATACTTGGAAAACATGTGATATGCGATAACATTGTTTAATATCGTGATGACGATATGACTTGCAAAAAATAAACAGTCCCTTGCTACTGAAGCAGACATCACAGACACCTCCACAGCCAGGAGAAGGCTCACAGCACCACCAAGTGGGGTGCAGACATATAAACATAAACATGTCCTATCACAGTGTGTGTGAGAAAGCAAGGGAGAGAGAGAGAGGAAAAGAACGAGCGAGCAGCTGATGACTGCTCGCCCTGCTCTAAATAAAGATTTGACTCATCAATAAAAGAATCAATCATTATGTGATTATCAGTGTTGATATTGTGGCGACAAACAAACTTTTAAAGTGTAACGGGTCAGAGATGTCAGCTGAGAGAGAGAGAGAGATAGAGAGAGATGCGCTTACACACACAGAGCAGCCCACGATAGATTTCGATATATCGTGCAGCCCTAGTCCAGGCGTAAATCTCCAGTATGTCATATATATATATATATATAAATATTACTACCTAAGGCTAAAAAAATATATAAAACGGAACAAAGACAAATAAATGGCACATAGTTGCACCAGCGAATCGGTTGTTTCCAATGTGGTCAGAGATTTTCTGCAGTCTGTGCTGAAGTTAAAGTCCTTGCAGCGCTCTGCAGTGACTACAGATGTTCACGTTCCTCTTCACCAAGAAATCACACGTTGATGCACGTTCTAATACGATGGGGTCTTTTTTAGGTGATGACTCTTTGGGGGACAGACCCTGGCACACAGCATATTTCTCCAGGCCCAGAAGCAGATTGACCACCTCAGTCACTGAGGTTAAGCGTGCAGGGTAGTTGTCGTACAGCGGGTGGGTGGGGAGCAGTGGCTGCTTCTGGACAGTCACCTGATAGAAGAAGCCTGGGTCGATGAGCACCATGGTGTCTGTCATGTTAGACTGTTTGGAACACTGGATGACCTGCAGCTGTGGGCCCTCGACCATGATGGCATACCATAAGATTGGTAGCACAGAGGTTCGTAAAGAGTGTAGCAGTTTCATCAGCTGGTTTTCTATGTCAGTACCACTTCCTGCTGCATTATCAGCCAAACTGTAGATCTGTGTGATCTGCAGAAAACAAATACACAAAATGTTTGTTTCCTCTGTTATTCAAAGAACCAACATCAACAGTCTCAGCAGGACACTCACCATGGGCAACTCCTCTTCCTCGTCCTCATCGTCTTCATCATCATCTTCAAAGGGCTTTACACCATCTCTGCCTGATCTCCTTTGCTGGTCCTGGAATGGTGAGGGTAAATTCATGAGCTAAACCTTTAAATAAATCTACTGTCAGTCAAAACTCAATGTATAATTCATGCATAATTTAAAGTATAAAATCCTAATTGAAGCTAAGATGAAGTAAAATGTAATTAAAGCTACATCAAAGTGCATGAAATCAGCTTGGAACAGAGTATGAGATGAAATATATGTTTGATAATGGATCATGTATCAAATCACAGCATGAGTAAAAACCTCAGATACCAGCTCAGCATTTTACACCAGGATGCAAACACATAATGAGTAGAGACCAACTTTGGTGTAGCGCTGGCTCAGTTGTCCTGGAAATATAAGTAATGTTTGTTTTATATCTTGCATGAAAGAATTACATTACAGCCTGCTGGCCTGGCCAATATATAGAACCAGGCAGCCACTGATGTAAAACAGTTACTGACATCGACCAGAAACACTTGCAAACCCTCATTTATGAACTGTGAAGATGGAGGTGAGGCGGGGACTTTTGTGGTCCAATATGATGGTGACAGTGGTCAGGACAAGAAAATGAGCAAAGAAGGTTGCCTGCTGCTGTGCAGAAAGAAGGTTGGTGTTTCATCAGCCTGAAGCTGGTTTAGGGTTGGATTTCTTAGGATCTTGGATAAGATTAGATTGTTAAAAAATGTTTAGCTCAATTTAAAATCACCAAAACATGTGTCCTTATACAATGTCTATCCACATTGATGACCTATGATCAGGGTCGGGTAGTGACAGATTACGTAGGGTATGGGTAATGTATCTCAGAGCATCAGATATTTCCAATCTAAATAGAGGAAATGGCAAAACAAATAAGCACAGGAAAGGAAACTGAAGGACAGCCAAGAAGAGAGCAGTGACAAGTGGAGAGAGCAAACAGCTTGGCAGCGATATGCATCTTTTACAAGGAGATCAAATTAATTTTTGTGGGTGGCCTGGAGCCAAGTGTACAAGAAGAACGCCATAAAACTGCAACGTCTCTGGCTCAACTGCATCAAAAATATGGGAAGGGCCGCTGGTGCACATCCTACTCCTCTCGATTAAGATTGCATGCCTCTCCAACTACACAAGCACACCTGATGCAAAAAAATGTTGCGACCCCAAATGGAACAGTGTATCAGTGTAACAGTGTAATACACGGTATAAAACACAAACGCACAGAGTTTGGATCCAGGCCTGGAATCACTGAGCAGAGCCGGAGCCACAGAACAATAGAACAGATATATAAGGAAATGATCATGATGCCATGAGCAGTTGTGAGGGGAAGTGTAAACAGCCATGATGGCTCATGATCAGTCAGGTGCAGTGAATATAACCATTGGGCAGCAATTATTTGTCTGGAAATAAGAGAATAGTGCAAATACTTCCATGAGACCTGTGACATTTCAAGGAAAAGGCTCCTGAACTTAAAACACAGCCACTCTACCACCAATTAGGCAGGGCCCCAGACAAGCTCTTTATTGGTTGTTCACAGAGCTTTTTCATTTAGATGCACCAGCACATAATTTAGGTGCACCCAAAGATTTTCACTGTGCCTCAATAATACAGCTATTATACCTTTTCTTGATAGATCCCATATAAATTGGTAATTTCTTAAGGGCTGGGTATTGCCACTAATTCCCAAAATCGATTCGATTCCCGCTTCAATTTAATATTGATTCAGTTAAGGATATTTCATTGTACAAAGCCAATTTTGCCTGGATATGAAATAAATTCTCAGAGAACTAAAACTGTAAACTGCAAGAAAATATCTAACCTGGTGCATTATTAAAAATATTAAGGTAGGCCTTTCACAACAACAAATTTTGTTGAACCATATTTTGTCCCAGAAAGTATTGCGATAGATGATATTATTGTTATCATTGTGAAACCATTTGATACAACTGGTATATTGAAAATATTATAGCATAATCATGCAATTACACCCTATTAAAGAGCGATAAATTAATTCTTAATTCTTAAGAATATTAAGTCTGATGTTTGAATGAGAATTCAAAATATTTAAAAGGGATAGTTCACCGAAAAACTGAAGTTCACATATCATCTACTCACCACTATGCCGATGGAGGGGTGGGTTAAGTGTTTGTCTCCACAAGACCCTTCCACTAGGATTTCGTGTGTTTGTGTGAATGTGCTTGTCACATTTTCAATGTCTTTAAATACGCCGGGTGTCTAATGATTTCTGGATCAAATCAAATCAAACAAACACAAACTTAACTTACATTATGTTTAACTTCTGATAACTGTTGGTGTTTATTGTTTAAGTGTAAAATGAGGGGGTCAGCAGTAGTGAGGTGGAAGGACACCAAGACATGACTCTGACATGCTACAAACCAACCGGTGCTTCTGCTCCGATCCGGAATCAGCGGAGCTAATCATTAGGCGTGGTACGTTTCGAAACCTTGTATTCGAACTATTTGTTGCCACTGTTTGACTTTTACCGCCTCGCTTACCGCCTCGCTTACCACCTCTCCTCTTTCATCTCTGCTTCAGTGTCCACGTATAAATGTGCAAGTGAGTGGGGGCGGGGGCAGCCTGGGGCCTGTGTGTCTGAGTGCAGAGGAGATTAAATGAGGAAGCGACACGACTCGATCAAATACAGAGCCAGACAAGCTAAATGTGTGGCGCACCAGTGTTTTGTCGCACTTCAAAGATTTTAGGTCGCACTCTGATGTTTGTAATGCGTGTCAGATGGAAAAAAGAAAAAAACAAAAAGAATACTAATATCTCCTGATAATAAAAAGCAGAGGCAATCCGTAGAAGACACCAACGAATATGTGAGTTTGTTAGATGGTGTCTGTGGTGTTGTCAGGTAAAATCCTGCGATCTACGCAACAGAATTAATATGTCACTAGCACAAGGCTGCTCCTGAATAATGCAGAGGATTTGTTGCGGTTGTAAATGCGCCTGTGCAGAGAACCCTACCGTTGTGTTGTGCATGTGTAAAAGGCTCTGAGTAAACTCCGAAGACAATTTTTCCCAAAGGCCATGTCTAAAAACTGCTAAAGAGAAGGATGAATGTAAACTTACTAGCTGACTGTAGTTATGATGGCTGACGTGAGGCACTCTCTCAGACAGTCCATTCCGCTGTTCCGGATTTGAGTAATTCAGTGGCTGAAAGACAAAAATAAGTGACAAGCTGTTTGGTTTGAAGATTTGCTTTGGACACATATGATCTATTTTCAAACCTGCATAGAAGATTAGTTTCTCACATTCAGTTCACTGTGTTTGCTACCCCTGGCAGGCTCAGTGCTCCAACTTATCTAAAACAACAAAAAGGAAATTAACCTTTTATCTGCACTGAAACTCTCTTACTGAACAATTAAAAGATTTTAACAGCAAAATCACTGTGCACTCACTGGTTGGAAGTCATCGTCTTCATTGTCAGTGAAGTCCAAGCCGAAATTTTGCCCTTTGTTTTTCTTTAAATTCGACTTACGACTGTATGTGTAGTGAGGTCGTGGCCTACCCGGAGTCATCGGACCATCTGGCCCAAAGTCTCCTTGTCCCATCTGGAAGGGCAGTAGGTGCCTCTGTCCAACAGAAGCACAGAAATATTCAGTTCTCTTTCTTAGCATTCGTTTCAATGTCTCACTATGGGATACGGCACCTCGCGTCTTCGCAGAAGCACTTGTACCATTACGACAGCCATGAGTGGCGTCTGCGTCCCGCACATTAAATACTCCTGATGCAACATCACCCATCATAAAAAACACCTTTTCTCGCTTCAGAAGCAAGCTACTCTGACATGCGTTGATGATATCTAACTACTGTCCTTAGACCGGAATGGACACCTCTATCACCAGATGCTAGTTTGCAAGAGTCAACATGGGTATAGTTTTATTCTAAACTAGCTAGCACGTTAACTCTGCACTTCAAGCAAGCTAACTGCACTGGGAGCCTGCGGTTACCACACTGCCTGCCCACTGAAATTAGCTGACAGTAAGAGTTATTATTCCAGATAATTTGCCTTCCTTTAGCATACCCAGCTAAATGGAATCCAGCTGCCAAGCAAGGTGATGCCCCTCACCTGTGTACCTGTGGATATAACATTTCAAACAAGGACATACACCAGGTCTGCTCCGCTTGACTCGGGCTGGACCATACCAACACTGCCATCAGCCACCCTGACTTGTGCGCCCGCATTTGCTTCAGAGCGAAGAGTCTCCACCAAAGACTAGCCCGCCAAGCTAGCCAATCTGAGAGGGACCCAATCCTTTCCTGTGCCACTCCTGAGAAACCCCAACCCGGCATGGACAAGTAGGATACCCCGAAGATTTTCTGCGCTGGGGCAATGCTGGATAACAGACAATTACAGAATCTTGTTGGATTACGAGGAGGAGGATGAGTCTGACAGCGAGACTTGTCTGGTGATGGATGGTGACGACGAGGATTATGATTCTTCTTTTATACCACCTGCACAGGCTCTTAGCTCTCCAAGCCTGGCCACTGCATAGGGTCCTGGTGAGCCAGTTCCACGCTGCAGAGATACTAGGGATTCCATGGCCTGCAGTCGTGGCAGAGGCCCCAAGGTCCTGCTACGAGGGGAAGAAATTACCTGAAGCTTAACAGGATGCGAGACAGCTTCTCTCGCTGTTTCGGAGGTCCTCGAGGAAATCACCAACTCCTGGAAGAAAACCCTTACTCAAGCAAAACCACCATCGTGAAGGGATGGATAAACATGCCATGGCCTGCATGCCACTCATGGAGCCGCTGGTGGCAGCCCGCCTTCCCCTACGGTTGTCAGCGTCATCCAGAGTTACAACCCTGCCAATGAAAGCTGACCACTTCCAATCCACCATGAACAAACAGGCTTACAAAGCCTAAGCCTTGACGGTAAGGACTCCCAACATCATCTACATGTTGTTAGCATACCAAGCAGAACTTTTTGATGACATAGCCGACTTGCCTGACAAGTTCACCACAATAGCGGACATCTGCCTGCGTGTCCAGCGCTGCGCTGTACAGGCGGTTGGGAAGTGCATGTTGGTGTTTGTGCTACAAGAAAGGATGAGATAGCTGAATCTGACCAATCTGTCATATAATGAAAAGGAGACATGGACATGCCGATTGTCCCCGAGGGCATATCCGGCTCCACTCATGCTTCAATGCAAACGTAGTGCAAGGCAAAGAAAAAGGAGGACAAGGCTTTGCAGCTCTGTCTCTCGCAGAAAACACCTGCCACGGCACATTTCAGGAAAACTTGTACTTCCATTTGGCCTGTCACTGAGCCAGAGGGTGTTTGGGAAAATTGTTGACATTGCTACAATGCCCCTCAGGGAACAGGGTATCCGCTTTGCCACTTATCTGGACAACTGGCTTTGACGTGAATCCGGCGGACCAACACCCCCAAAAGTTTGTCGCTTTATGAAAGATTGCTGCTCATCTCCAAGCCAAACTCTTGGGAGCTGGTAGTAGTGCTGTGAGCCCTTACTCATCCCTTTGAGCCTCCACCTTATAGCTCTGCGGAAGAGCAGTGGCTACACATGCTGTGATCGGTCCGTGCTTTGCACACTTATGTGGAGTTTTAGGAAAGGGAATCAGTTGTTTGTGTCCTGGGCTAAGCCCCATTGGGGCAAGTATATCACAAGACTTTCTCACTGGATAGTGGAAGCCATTGCATTGGCCTACTCTAGATAGGGCCTCCAGGTTACGACTGGGTTGTGGGCAAATTCTGTCAGGGGTCTTGCAACCTCTTGGGCTGAGTTCAAGGGGGTCTCTATCCAAGATATATGCACTGCAGCTAGCTGGTCTTTGCCCCTCACATTTGCAAGGGTCTATAGATTGAATGTCACATCTTCAAGCCTGGCCCAAGCTGTCCTGAGTGTGGGCTCTTCGGTGGATCTGCATCATCCACACGTCTGCATTAAGAGGGCTGGCGGTCAGTCAGCTTGTCTGACAATACGGGAGTCTCTCCCATAGTAAGACATAGAAACGAATGCTAAGAAAGAGAACTTTAGGTTTTTTTCATACCCCGGTTATCTGACTAGCATGAGCGAAATGTCTCACCAGACTTCTCTTTTTGCTGCTGGGGTGAAAAGAGTGGTGCTTGTTAAGAATGACTGGTGACGCTGCATCAGGAGTGCATCTTTGAATATGCAAGGAGCACCCCCTATAGTTAGACATCTCACTCATGTCACTCAGAGAACCAGGGTTACGAAAGTAACCTAAAGATTTAACCCTTGTAAATCGTTACTGTAAGAAACAATACATTTATTAAAAATTGTTATGGTCTTACCATCGCCTGCCTCTGACACTGCCGTAGACGACACTTCTGCCTCTTTTTGTTGCTGCCTCCGAACTTGGGTTTGTCTACACAGAAATCACACGTGCCACAGTCTTTCCTGCAGAGACAGGCTTTGCATTCTCCACACGAGCGTCGCTTTCGCTTCTTATGCCACTGTAGACGAGAATATGAAGAAGAAAAAGAAAACTTAGCACAAAACAATTTCATTAACAATAGAGAGATCATTTCATGATTTTGTCACATAAATGGCAAAATGAAGGACCATTATAGTTACCAATTATTAATTTAACTTAAAAAAAGTATTTTACACCTCAGTAATGTTGCAAGAGTCACAGTGATTTTTAACTATTATTTTCACTATTATCATCATCCTAAATTACAATGACCCATAAAGGAATAAAAACATATGGGTTTTTTGGTTGAACATTTTAGTTAGGATTTTTACGAACTGATTCCAGACTATAAAAGTTACTATGCAAGTATTACAAAAAAAAAAAACACTTTGACTGTTATACTGGGGGGTGGGGGTGAAACTTTTTTCAACTATTTTGTATCCAACTGCAAATAACGAGTATTTTAATCTTGGATTAATCTGCAGATTACTTTCCCCATTTATTGCTTTGATTGTTTGCATTTGGTCTGAACACATCGTCATTTGTATAGAAACTACCCCAGTTATGCTTTTCTAAAAGAGCCAACTTTTACTAGCCTGAGGTTGAGGGGGTCAGTGTTACAAAGGAGATTTTGGTTTATTCTGTATTGCCATTCAAAATAAAAATCACTCACATCATCATCATCGTCAGTTGACATATCATCCTCATCTTCAACGTCCACGTTGACCGAGAAGTTCTCTGTATCACTGCTTTTGAGACTCTGGTGCTGCGGAAATAAAACATGATCAGTGAGTGTGAGGAAGAAAAGCTACAATACTAAGAACTGTGAACACAGGTATAAATTGATCAACATCATTTATAAAAAGTTACCTGTGAGTCTGCAAATTCACTCTGTAAAGAAAAACAGTCAATGTTAGAACTTACCCAAATCAAATTCATCTTTCATCGTCAAAGCACCAACACATCATTATACTACTACTGTTAGAGTAATTACAACCTACAAGTGAACACTTCGTATTTAAATGTGGAAAACTTGGAAAAACTGGAACAAATCTGACGTGGACTATAAACCTTAGAATGAGCAGAAAGAG